ATTTGCATCATTGAACAATAAGAAACGCAAAGTGCTCAAAACCATTGTTTTATAAATAGTAATTAAAACATTTCCAATACAAAACTCATTTAATGTATAAAGAGAATGTTTTTCAAGACAAAAAAAAACGTTTTTAATTACTTAGCTAAATACCTTTATACGAGTTAAATTTTACAGTGTTAAAGCTACTTTATTTTACAACATTTAAAGAAGTTTTTTCAAGTCAGGATTGTTGAAGATTTTTCAACTTTGTCAAGTGATGACTTTTTATAAAAACACAATATGGTTTTTTTGTTCTTGATTATGTACAGAATAACACCTTAAGAACAAACAAATTATATGTGTCTAGAGTAAAAATTTATGTACAAAATAAAGACAAAATAAACAAAAGACAAAATAAATTGTGAAAAAACAAAAGACAAAATAAATTGTGAAGCGTACTCTACCAGCAGTTTGCAGTAAAAATTTGAAAAATCAAAAGCCGCTGTCAGCAGCCTGCAGTAGTGTTAAATATTACAAAATATTTTAACAGAATCTTAATAAGGATGATAATCATTTAATAACAATAAAAACACAAAAAATAATTTATAGCAATAGACAAGCTAAAAATATCTGAAATATTTTTAATGGGAGCTTTGCGAAAGTTAGAAAATAAAATAACTAAAGAAATTCAACAGTAATTTATGATAAAATTTTTTTTTTATATAAAATAAATATATTTTATATAAAATAAATAACTAAAAATATTCTTTAGTCATCTATAATAATAATTTAAAAGAATTCTATAATTTGATTTAAAAAAAAAGAATTTTCAAATTTCTTAAAGAAATTTTACTATGACATCATTTACTTAAACTCTTTGGAATTAAATGTGCTTGAATAAATTATTTAATCTGTAGATTGCAGAGTATATTTTAAAGACTTTCAGAAAATAACTACTGTGGAAAAGGTGAGCTTCAAGTAAAACAACAAAGTTTGTTTTTGTTGGGATACATTTATTATTTTGTTTTACTTAAAAAAATTCTGCCCAAACATTTTTTTTTAACATATTCTTTAAAACAAACACAACTTTTTGATTAAAATTTATTAATCAAATAATATTTTTTACAAATACAGGCCTTGTTTTAAAGCGTTATGCCTAGAGCGATTTACGTACGCCTTAAGCGCTTTTTACGTACGCGTAGAGCTGTTTTGGTTAAGCTACTTTTTATCATTTTTTAACTTTTAAATTAGCGGTAACATAAAAGAAGTAATTAATTTTCAAAAAAACCACATTAACTTTTAAATAACGTTATGTAAAGGTATTTATTAAAAAAAAGAATTTTCTTTAAAAATAATTATTGTAACTTTTCATTTAAAAAAGATTTACTTTAAAAACTTTTAAATCTTGGGACTTTGCCGATGCTTTGCCGATGCGATGATCACAGAAAAAGAGAAGACTTACGTTATTAAAATCAAATGTAAGTTATGTGATCTTTATCAAAATAAAATATTATCCAAAAACAATAGTGCCGTAAGGCAACTGCCCAACGGTTTATAAATAATACAAGTCATGTTAAAATATTTTAACATGTTACTATATTTTAATTAAGTTGATATATAATTAAAAATAAAAATATAGTTCAATAAATAAATTAACGTTATTCTTAACAAAGATTACCTCATATTTATTCTTTTTTTTATTTTATTAAGTTAAATTGCTTTCAAACGAAAAAAAAAAAGAGTTTTGTAATTATACGTAGAATGAAAATACTTTTGAGTTTGTTTATAAGTTAAAGAACTTAATTTTTAATAAACAAATTTTTACGAACGTTTATTATAAACAGATACGATTCAAATTATTAAATATACTTAAATTATTTCAGTTGAGTATTTTTTTAAGTTTGCACGATTAAAGTTTGGCGTAGAAGTATTTGTTTTTTTGTTTTAAGAATAATTAATAAAAGAGTTTGCATAATTAAGACTTTCATATTTAATTTTTTTTTTTTTTTAATTTCCTAAAGTTAAAAAAAAAAAGATTTAATCGTTGAAAACGATTTTTCTCTATAGCTCTGTTTCTTTGTGATTTGTTTAAAAAGTTAAATATTTTTACAATAACATAAAAAATTTATGAATTAAATTCCTAGCGAACGCGTTCTAAACTACGTATCAAAAATATGCACAAAGCAGACAAAACTTTTTTATATTTTTATAAAACGCAAGTTTGAACGCTTTTAAACGCTTTTGAACGCTTTTAAAAATTTAAAAAATATTTAAAAACTTAAATTTTTCTTTGTTAGTCGAAACAAAATCGTTGTTTAGTAATTAACATGGGTTTGCGTTTATCAATGTTAATATTTTTTGTTTACTCTAGAAATTATTAAAAATAAAAAAAATCATTATTATTTTTTATTCAATAACGATTAAAAACAATTATTCAAAAACAAATTTCAGAAATAATTAATGTATATATATATATATATATATATATATATATATATATATATATATATATATATATATATATTTTACTAAATAATAATGAACTAAAATTAATAATAAAATAACTATTGAAAACATTACAAAATTTTCATAATAAATTTATATTTAAAACGTTTATAGTTTATATTTAAGTTAATTGTTAAATTGAAATAGTTTGCGGTTATTTATTTATTGCGGTAGTTAAAACACTTAACGTCTATAAAAAAAAATAAAGATAATTTTATGACGTCAAAATCGCGTTAAGCTAATGCGTTAAGCACTTTTTTATTTAAAACAAGGCCTGAAATAAATAAAAATTTATTATTTTCTTATTTTCCTATTATATAAGTATTTTGAAAAAACATCAAATATTAAACTTTTTTAAAAGTGTAAAAATATTAAACTTTTTTAAAAGACGTCAAAAAGAATAAACGTAATAAACACATAAACGTAAGAAAAAAATTAATTTTTTCTAGTTCCAGCGCACATAGCAAATTAGTTCCTTAATTATATGAACTGATAAAACTCGCGAATAAATTGCATATTAAAACTTTTTATTGCTTTTAAATCATTTTAAAAAATATTTTTTTTAACAACACTCTATAAAAAAGAATACAAGAGTTGCAGAAAAATTTTTTATAATTTTTCTTTTTTAATTTACTTTTTTTATTATTAAATTTTCTAGTTTATTTAATAAAACTTGATATTTTGTTACAATTTTGAAAAAAAAAATCCTTTTTCAAGGATTTTTTTTTTCCTTAAGCAGATAAGTTAAGCTTTTTGCAGCAAACTATTGAAACAATTTATAAGTAAAAAGATGTGAACTGCCATGGTCAGTTAGTCTAAGAAATTACTTTAAACGTGGATGAACAAGACGTGTGACTGCAAGTGCTTCCCAGGAAGGCTTGAATATAAGTATTTTATTAAAAAATATCTCAATTTATAAATCCCAACAAATATTTATTACAAAAAATGCATAAAACTATTTAATTCTAGTGTGGCTTGAGGTCAATTGAGCATTTACTAGCAACTGTTTTATGATAGTATCAATAAGAACTAATATGCTAATATAAGTTTGGTGAGAAATAAACCAAAAGTTCATTTTCAACAAATCGAGATTTACAAGGTTATTGATTTTTAAAGCCTGTTTACACTGAAAGGTTTTGTTTTTATCGATGACTAAAACAATTATATTTTACTTTTTAAGGTCGATTTTCACAGAATTTTTTTTCTTAGTTTAAAGATATAAATACTTTGTTAATAATAAGTAAAAAATTATTAAATGTGGGGAGGGGGAGGAGGTCTTAATAAGCATAGAGTGGGTGGGAAAATTATTTAAAAAATTACAAGCGCCCTTCCCAAGCCCTTCATTGGATGAAGGACTTGGCAGTATGCAGCTTTAATAAATAATTGTTTACAAATATTTTTGTAATATACTCTGACGTTTTCGAAAGATTGCAGATTAGTATTTTGTATTGTAATGATAACTGCACTATTCATTTTGATAACATAATTGTAGATTTCATTCAACAAAAATTCACTAATGAAAAACTTATTCCATTCCATCAGTATAAATAAGGAAGAAAGCCTTGCTACATAATTAGTTATTCCATTGATTGATGAATCAATTTGGGCAATATTGTTTACAAAAAAACAAACTGAAAGTTCTGTTGCAGTATTTACTGTTATTACAATCTATTGTTAAATGAATTTTGTTTATCCATTGACCAAAAAAATAAGTTAAATAAAATTCAAAAAGTATTTCATATTCTTTTGGTAAATTTTCAAAACAGCTATGAGGTTGTTTTGACACAATATTTCTTTATAAACCATCACACAACATAACTGCATTTTTAAAAATCATATCACAATAAAATGATACCTTTAAAAACAACCTCACTGTATAACCATATTTTGAAAGATCATGTCACAACAAAAACAAATCTTTAAAATCATTGCAAAACAAACATTTTAAAAACCAAACTTTATAACCACCATTTTAAAAAACATATCACAACATAACCTTATTTTAAAAAGCCATATCAAAACATAATCACATTTTCAAAATTCACATTGCAACAACCTCATTTTTAAAAGACATATCACAACATAATCAATAGCTAATAATCATAAAATACATATACAATTTATAAACAATACCACAATGTAGCTACATCATAAGATACATTAATATTTAATGAATCAGCATCAATTGATAACAATTGATAACAATTGTTTACAAATGTTGGTATAAAATGTTTCTAAACTTTTTAAAAATAGTTTCGTTAGTTTTCAGGTCTCAAACTAATTCAGATACTTTAAACATTTGGTGAACGTTTAAACATTTGGTGAACGTTCACCAAATTTTTTTGAAATAAAATTATAAAATTCTTATTATTAAAATGATGAAAATTACCGAATTCTTTCTGAAAAAAAAAATTCTGAACTATTTTTGAAACCCTAATTTATGTTTTTAAAAAAGATAAAAATTCTTAAACAAAATTTACATTTAAGAAAGAAAAAAAATGTAAAACTCTTACTAGTATTTACATTTGACACAACTAAGTTTCTTATGTATCCTGGTTGTGCATAATACCAGGGATTGCTTGTATATAGTCTAACATACTCAAAAGGTTGTGCATTGGTATTTTGTAATGTAATGATAACTGTATCATCCATTTTGACGACATAAGTGTAGATTCCATTCAACAAAGAATGACTTATGAAAAATTTATTCCATTCCATCAAATTTAATGGCGAAGAAAGTACTTTTACATAATAATTTCCATTGATTGACGAACTAATTTCAGGAAAGTTGTTGAAAAAATAAAAACTGAATATTCTGTCGCCGTATTTACTCTTATCATCACCTATTGTGAAATGAAGTACGCTCGTCCATTGATTTATAAAATTAGTTAAATATAATTCAAAAGATATTTCATATTCATTTGGAAAAGTTTCAAATACAGCTATAAGGTTGTTTTTTTCAATAGCGAATACATCCTTCATTTCAAACATTTCTAAATGAAATTCAAAAGGAAAGTTAAGTGTTCTTTGTGTATAATAAAAATTATTTACTATTTTAAGAAATAAAACATGTCATAAAATAAAACCCAAATTTTTAAAATTATAGCTATTATATACATATACTTAAGACTGGTTCATCGAGACCAATACAGCAAAAATATTTAATTAAAGTGAAAAAATTAAAAAAAAAGAAACTTTTTATGTCACTACAGATAGCATATCATCAAAAGAAAGAATAAGCAAGTAGTCAAATAAAATGTTTCATTATTGATATCATTATATTTATATTTATTGTATAACTTCCTATTATCTTATATTTATTTTGCATAACCTTCTATTATCTTATATTATGTATTATTTACATTATGTCATTTATAAAAATGGAATTCCAGTGCAAAAATTAAAACCTTTTTAGACTAAGAAATTAACAAACCTTTTTAGGTTTGTTAATTTCTTAGTCTGCTTAATTTCTTAATCTTAGTTAGTCTGCTATAATTTCTTAATCTTAGTTAGTCTGCTTAATTTCTTAATCTTAGTTAGTCTGCTTAATTTCTTAATCTTAGTTAGTCTGCTATAATTTTTTAATCTTAGTTAGTCTGCTATAATTTCTTAATCTTAGTTAGTCTGCTTATTTTCTTAATCTTAGTTAGTCTGCTTAATTTCTTAATCTTAATTAGTCTGCTTAATTTCTTAATCTTAGTTAGTCTGCTATAATTTCTTAATCTTAGTTAGTCTGTTTAATTTCTTATTCTTAGTTAGTCTGCTTAATTTCTTAATCTTAGTTAGTCTGCTATAATTTCTTAATCTTAGTTAGTCTGCTATAATTTCTTAATCTTAGTTAGTCTGCTTAATTTCTTAATCTTAGTTAGTCTGCTATAATTTCTTAATCTTAGTTAGTCTGCTTAATTTCTTAATCTTAGTTAGTCTGCTTAATTTCTTAATCTTAGTTAGTCTACTATAATTTCTTAATCTTAATTTCTTAATCTTAGTCTATTAATTTCTTAGTCTTAATTGATAGCATTTTTTTTTTCCGTGCATATTGTCTTTGACAATGAATAGTAAATAATAACATAGACATATCATGAAGTTGATAATAATATAGACACATCAAGACATTCACTTTGCATATAATAGTGGATTGAAAAAGTGGCTGTGTTAGTGAACTGGTTTACAAAGATGCTATAATTTCTGAAAGCTGATTTGTGATACTTCAATTGAATTTGTTAAAGATATTCTTCTTTTCTTTGGAGGTAAAGGAGTAAATTCAGTATCAATTTCATCTTTTTCATCAACACTATCAAGTAAATAACTGACTTCAACGTCTCTCAGTTTTTGATATTTGGTTAACTTTTTTGTAAAATACTTGCTTGTCTTTCTTCTTGGCGTTTTAAAAATTTTGAACCACTTAAACCAATGCCATGTCATGTCATATTTTATTATATTCATATAATATATCATGCAATATTTTCTTATATTCTTTTGATCTTCATAAAATGCCTAATCTTCTTTCCATTTTCGTCTGTGCGATATAAGCAGTTTTTCATGTGCATTTAGTGCTGCAATATCAATAAGTTGTTTAAGTTTGTCAAAAAATCTGAAAATTAACTTTTTTCAGTTTTAACATTTCAACTTAATTGCGCTTTATTTTTTATTCTGGACTTTTTTCAACAATTCTGAAAGTAATAAAAAGCACAAATTATCTGACCAAGTTGATACTCAAGCTTTTTTCAAAATTCCCACTCACTAAGTACAAGTTTAAAAATATCTCTTGCAGATTTGATGTCCTTTGAATTAAAACGTAAATGAGAGCATATAGCTAACACTTGTTTTTTTGTTTATAGTGTGGCCGCTGCCAATGTCACTTATTTCTAAGATTCATCATTATAATAAAATGAAAATATTCACTGATCTAAAAAAATGCAAAAATAATTTTTTAGAGCCAAATTTTAAAGTTATTTTTTAACATTTCAACTATGCCTTTTGATATAATATCCTTACCTTTCACAAACTTTTTTTTATAACCTTATAGAATTTAAACATAAATTCAAATTTTTATTTTGGAATGCAACTAATTTATCAACAAAAAACCTTTTTGTAGTCAATTATGTTAAAAAATGTAGTTAACGTACAATACAACAAGCTCATTTTAAGCATTTATTTTATAGGAAAAACTTATAGTAAAAAGTATGGGAAACATTTAAACTATTTAATAAAAAATTCATAAAAATTTTCACATTCATTTTTCTGATATTTATTAATATATTGTGGGTACACAAGGAAAATGAATAAGTCTAAAAACATCATATTGAGATAATGAACAAATATATTTTTGCGTAATAGTTAAAATAATAATTTTTGTGTATTAATTGAAATAAAAAATCTTAATAACTCATTAATAATTGATTTATTAAATTTGTGTAGTATATCAAAAAATATAGAATTTAAAATACTAAATAGTATATATAACTCCATACTGCCAAAAATAGACTTTTTGCAGTATGGCATTTCTCTTGTATACCAACGATATACACTAGGTAACATAACACAAAACTAATTATTTTTAAGTTATATTTGGAACAGAAAAAAAATGTAATAAATGCTATTTTTTCATTAGAGACCTCTAGAGGTAACTTTCAATTTTTAAAAAAATTACATATTTGTTTTTACCTAATATCTACCTCACTCTACATTTTTAATAAATTCTTTGAAATGAAACATTTTCATCAATTCTGGTATACCCTTAATAAATTATCCGATTAGGGTTTTGGTAAAACTTACAATGGCACCATCACTTTAGTTATTCGACTATTTGCAACAGCAAAATCTCATCTATTTTCAAACATTATACCAGGAAAAGATTGGTACAAGATTTTTATCAACTATTGGAGTCGTAAGTTTAGCATCAGAGTTGCTATATATCAGAGCAATATTTGATTACTCACAGCCGCTGCTAGCCTGCAAGAAAGTGTGTTTCAATAAACTGCAGAGAGAATTCAACAAAAAAGATATTAACAAAAATACTTTAAGTCATTAGTGGAATTTTGATGAAATTGGCTTTTCTGGTGATTAAGGCAAGCAACACATAGTAGCCAATGGAGCCACAGTTCTGATAGCTACAAACATAAAATATTTTTTAGTGTGAAGACTTTAGAAAATAAAATAACTAACTATAGTTAGATATTTTAGTAAAATTTAATAGTAAAAGTCTTAAAGAATTTCTAGAATGTTTCCAATGACTTCAACATATATATTAGATAATAATTTGAAGAATTAAAATCCTGTAGTAAAGATAAACTTTATGTTATTTTTAAATTAGTAAAGTAACTTTTAAAATCAGGTAATTTATTTAATTCATGCATTTTAATAAGACATCAATTCCTATGCCTATTGAATTTAAAGTTTATACTTTAAATTCACTAGGCAAATCTGTGTTTTATATTTTTTTTAAATCTGTGTTTTATATTTTTTTGAAATTTGAAAACGATGCTCTTTTTAAAGGCCAAACTCTTGATAAATATCAAACTTTTGATTAAGTTTTTATTTATCTCAAAAACCCTTGCTTCTCACATGGCTCTATGTTGCATGTTTAAGAATAAGATTGTTTAATAGCTTATTTTTAAATATTGATGAACAATTACATTCATTACAAGGTATGTCATTCAATAAATGCTAGACCAGTTGTCTTCAACAGCCAAGTGATGTACTGCCATGATGAAACATAACAAAATCTGTTTTTAGTTAGTGATATCATAAAATGTATAGTTTTTAGATAACAAATTTTCTTATAGCCAGTACAGTTGTTGCAACAGCAAGATCATCAACAAGTGCTGCCCCAACACTAACGAGAGCAACATCTGCTAATGGTGGATAAGTGATTTGTAGTTTTATTAGGTTATTTTAAAAATAAAACTTCAAAATTTTATTCGCTACTTTTTCTTTTTAGATCTACTGTGTAAGCCTTTTTGGCAATTGAGAAGATTGAAAACTTCTATTGGTCAATTGGTTTTATTGTATTTTAAATTTTTTTGCTTCTTTTTCTGCTACAACAAGTAAGTTGTTGTACTCACTCGATACTTGACTTAGTACATTTATTGATTGCTTTTTATTTTAGATTTTTATTTTTTAATAAAGCAGCAGATGCTTCTTTCAGTTCAATCAATTAATGTAATTAATTCAAGCCTTCCTAGAAAACGCGTGCGGTTTTTGTATATCCACGCATGAGTATTTTATTTTAGACAACTTAGTCACAGCCGTTTGCAAGTTTTATTATAAGTGTTGCTAATAAAAGTTTCAAAAACAAATAAAGCAAAACTAAAAAAATAGGAAATTAAAATAAACTTAAATAGAAAATAATAGTAATAATTCAAATAATTTGTGTACTGTTTTTATTTTTGTTTCTTCATAGTGGTTGTTATTTTCGGAAACAAATTTTGGTAAGTCAAAGCAAAAAAAAAAATTTTATTTGTTTTATTTTTCAAAGAGGAAAGCGAAAATATAAATTGTCATATGCTTGTAAAATGTATTTGTATAATTTTAATGTAACAAGTATATATTGTCCCTATCGCAGCAAACAATTGGTCTAAAAAAGACGCTTTTCAGGCATATAAAAAACGTCTTACACGTTTAAAAGATGTATTAAAAGTAGGTCACTTCAGTCACGTGACAAATTCTGTAGACAAAATTTTCGAAGTTTTTTATATATAAAGAGGACTTTTTCAGATAAAATTTAGACCGATTTTTTTTAACCTATTATGTCACAGTAAAACGTTTTACGAAAATTAAAATGATTAATCTTTCATAAAATATCTGCTAGAATTTTTAATAAAAGTTTATCTGGGTGTAGGAGCGATTTAAGTTTAGTTTTTATAATTACTTTATTTGCGTTCTAGCATCCTTTAAAATAATATATAACCTTTTTTATTTTTTTTATTTTTTATTTTTATGGTTTTATGATGTATAAGTCGGTCTAAAATAACTTTGAAAAAACTTTTTG